CTTCTTATGTGTCTTGGAGTGGTCCCAACTTGCATAAAACTTATTGGCCTTCTCTTTTACTACATCAAGTGCTTTACCCAAGGTGGGCACTCTAATGCTTAAATCAATGATAAGAGTGAAAAGGGAGCAAAGAGATTGGAATGCAAGAGTGAATTTAATGCACAATCGTGTGTACCTTCTATAGGTGAAGGAGGTGCCTTTATATAGGCATCAATCTCACATAGCGTGTCCAAGATCTCCAAGGGAACATAACTTATCGGCCCACCATCCTCAGAGGTAGTTTTAGCGGATAGCAATAAGACATATCCGATTATATTTGAAGCAAGCGATATAGAACTCAGCTCTACTGGTCAAGCGACGTGGCCCCGAAGTAATCGGAGATGATATGCCACACATAGTGAAAGTCGGTCACCACGCCACATAAGTCACCACCTTGGACTTCAGTCAAGTCGGTGAGTACTCGACAGGGGATCGACCCTCCTATTGAGGTGTCTGGTCTACTTTGCCAAGGCGTGTAAACCACATAAGACTATGTCCTCCTCGGCCTTAACCGAGGTGATGTTGGGCGCTTGCACTAGTCTTTCAAGGTGTTCGAAGTGATTCCAACCAACCTGATAAGGACACATTATTGCTTATGTGGCATCGAGGTGTTATGCAACAGTTTAGAAGTGTCATGTGGCACAAAATCATTAAAGGGCCAAATTACCCCTCATCGAATACAAATTATACACGGCGAGAGGGGTTTCTTACAGGTCCGGATGTACCAAGCATGTTAGGTAAGCACAATGAGTGAGCACGTAATAGCTATATGACACATGTCCCAGTTAATGCGCCTTTCATCCAAAAATTTTTGCTCCGCTAGACAGAAATTATCCATTATTTTATTATCTTTGTCAAAATAATTAAAAATAAAAACAATGAAAAAGAAAAACCTAAACGTGTTAGGAGTTGGGACTCATTTACGTTTTCCTTTTTCATTGTTTTTTATTTTTAATTATATTGACAAAGATACTAAAATAATGGATAATTTCTGTCTAATGGAACAAAAACGTTTGGATGAAAGGCACATTAACTAAGCCTTGTGTCACACATCTATTACGTGCTCACTCATTGTACTTACCTAACATGCCTACTACATCAGGACCCGTTTCTTACCTGCTCATGGTATTGAATTGCAAAAGCGTTTCCATCTGCATAGACGGCGAGAGGGGTTTCTTACCCCTCATCAAATACAGCTGCTTCTTTTGTTTTTGGGTTCGGAATTTAGAATTTCAGGTTAAGAGAAGAGGTTGTTGTAATGAAAAGGCTTCGAATCGGCATGGGACGATTTAGTTTTGATATTCCAAAAGGATTTAATTAAGTTCAAGTAATGGTTTCAGTTGATGCATTCATAGTAAGCTTCTGAGCTAAGGAAGAAGTTCTCTTGGTCCTTTAGTGTGGTTCCAGCGGTTCTCTGACGTATTACCATCCCATGGATAAGAGAAGCTCCAAGATCTCTGTACTTTTTCTATTTATCTCCTGCTTTTGCCATGTCATCCAATGTTGAGAAGCCATGGTTGAACTTGAACACCTTGTTACATAGCCATCTACCCTATCTAGGGTTCCCAGGATTTCTTTGTGTCATCCTTCTTGCTAGGCATGTTGAGAAGCCATGTTAGGCATCATATATATAGGGGTTCCTAACAGGATTTCTTTGTGTCATCCCTTTTGCTTGCTTGGTCTGATTTCTCATAGGGTACTTGTACAACCCCATTAATTCTCAAAGGTCTGGTTGTCTTCTTCCCAAAAATTGCTCCAACAACACTCCAACTAAAACGATAACGATGGTATTGAATTGCAAAGGAGTTTGACACAACAACCAACTGAAAACAATGGTATTGAGTTGTAGAGGAGTTTGGCTGATTGATTATTAAAAGAAAAGAAAGCAAAACTTTCGATTTCCAATAGCTTTCGGCGTTCAAACTTCAAGTATCACAGCTAAAATGAAGCTCAGATCTGGGTTCCTTGCTTCTAGCTCTAATAACCCATTTTTTTATCTAGCTTTCTTAGGAATTTCTATGCAGATGGAAACAAAAACAGCAAGAGGATTGGGGAGGTTCTTGCAAGGAAGAAGGGAAGAAATCCATTGCTTGCTTGAGTCTGTGCAAACGATGCCATGCAAAGTTTGGGGATTGCATAGAGAGGGGGAAACTGCCTTGTAGCGATGGCTAGTACAACGGTATTTTAGGAATTTTTCAAAAATATATTAGTCACGTGATGTCACATGTAAACGAAGTATGATGAAAAAATAACGATAAGGGAGGTTTTAGACAATCGTAGAAAATTTAGGGGTATTTTAATATAATATGTAAACATTAAAGGTAGAATAAGTAAATTAGCTAAATTATAAGGATAGCTTAAAAAATTTGTCCTTTTTTCTAAATAAAACAAAACAAAAACAATACTAAATTGGGTGGGGAGAGGAGATGAAAAGTAATGGACTAAAAACTCTGGCCGTTTGGACGTGAGGCCAAGCGTAAGCTTTTGAAGATGAAAGATGTGCCCCCTTTTCTATACCATTTATAAAAATGAGAATGGTTATCGTCAAAAGATCCTGATTTTCTATTTCCACTATCGCCCTTCAGTCATTATACCCTAATTTTTATGACACAACAATTTAAGTGAGGAATAAAGATAGGATATTTTTATTTATTTCTATTACCATATGTAAAAATGAGAATGGTAGATGGGTAATCCGATTATCTATTTCCATTATTACCCCTCTTTAGTCATTATTATTCCAATTACATTTCTATTTCTATTATTGCCCCCTTTAGTCATTGTTATTCTAATTGTATTTTATAATATTATATATAGTATTTTATATTTCCATTATTGTCCCTCTTTAGCCATTGTACCCTAATTTCTCTATAACCATTATATATTTCTATATTCTATAATAAAAACGAGGATGGTAACAATGTTTCATCAAAAAGATTGACTACACTTTCCCTTTTTATAGGGATGCAAATGGATTGGATTGGATTCAAATTAGGGTAAATCCGAATCCGATCTGATAAATTATAGGTCCAATCCAATCCAATCGGATCTCATAAATATTGATTTAGATTCTAATTCGATAAGGATGTTGGATATTCAAAAAATGAAAGTATTTTTCAACTATTTTCATCGTATATACATGTTTTTTTATAAAAAATAAATAATATAAAAATATAATATAAATAACGTATTGGATCCTTTTGAATCGGATAGGGGTGATCCCAATCCGATTTAGTTTTTAATTGGATCTGATTATCCAATCCAATCATAAAATCCGTAACGAAGATATCCAAATCTGATAAAATTGGATCAGACTTTGGATCGGATCAAATCATGATCCCTTTTTACCCTCTATGCTTTTTGTTATTCCAATATTTATTTAGCTTATCATTAAATGGGATGTACACTATGAAGCAAGGTTTTTTCCAATAAAAATGAATACTAACCGACTATCAACCAAAGTTGCATCATTTCATTTTTACTTTCATCATTTTTTATCATTCTAATGTCTGATCTCTCATAAATGTGAAACTATAAAGTGGGTTATACCCAACACAGCCCAGTCACTATAGCAATTGGGCTAGTCCATACCCCCGAGTTGTGTTGGGCTTGGGTTTTGAGGCTCATGTGTCAGCACGAGATAGAACAAACAAGTGGACCATGTTGCTATAGGTCCGCAGCCCATCACGGAATATATATATATATAGATAGATAGATAGATAGATAGATAGATATAGATATATATATATATACTATTTTATATTGTAATTTTTTAATTTCATTTTATTATTTCATATATAAATAATTGTATACATCAAAATTCATATAGAATAAAATTTTAAGATTTTTTCAATTTCTTGTCTATTTTATTAATTTATTTAACTTTTCATTTTTTCAATTTTTTAATAAAAAATCATGCCTCTCACACCCCGGCCTATGGCTGAGCCCGTCTCGACCTATGTTGTAGGCCTAATCTTTGAAGAGTTTCAGCCTAGGTAGGGCATGACCCACCCAAGACCACGTGTTAGCATAGCACGGCCTATTAAACATAGACAACCCGCAAAATCGTGTTGTGCTGGCACAACACAACCCCACTTTATATTTTTTGATGAAATAGTGAAAAGTGCAAATTAGAGACAATACATAAAAAGGGCACGAATGATAGTATATAACACACATACAAACAAATGAGAAAGTAATAGAAAAGAAATAATCATAAATTGTCAAACATCTATCGAACCACCTTCTAATGGCCTAAATCCAAACTCTTCCCAACCTAGGATCAAGTCGATATTTTCATCCAAATTGCATTTTCTTTATCATACTTGATTTGCATTAATGAATTTAGTTATAATTTTAATTATTATTTTTCATTCATTTTCACCACTAGTATTATAGAAAAAAGAAAAAAGAATGTGCCCAAATCAAATTCCTTAGGCTGAGTTTGGAAGGAGAACAAATACAAATTATATAGAGTGCAAAATCTTATATTTTATATTATTTTATATGTATTAACACTATACATATTTGCATTTCCACTCTTTTCAAATTGAGCCTCATTTTGGAAAGACTGCAAATGCAAATATGTACAACGTAAATACATACAAAATAATACAAAATATAAGATTTTTCACTTTACCTATATTTGCATTTGTACCCCTTCCAAACTCAGCCATTTTGTTGTTTTGAAACAAATATTGATGTATACCGATGAGAGCGCGTTCATTGGCTCACCGCTCGAGTGAGAATGGGAAACGGGGAGGAAAGAGGTCAAAAAGGAAGAGAAAAGGTCAACGTTCTTGTGAAACACGAATTTGCTAGTTGTACGCCACTCAAACTCAGTCTACGGTTCCTGAATCAACGAGATTTATTAATAAATCCCCGAATTCTTTATCCAGACTTGCCTCTCTCTCTCTCTCTCTCTCGCTCGCTAAATATCCAAATCATCCCCACACTGAAGACTCAACCCCACCACCTTCTCTTTTAAATAACACAGCAGACTACTCTCCAATTCGCATTTGCTCTCTCTCTCTCTCTCCTTTCTTTTTCTCAATCTCTTGTTCAAGTAAGAAGCAAAATATGGTGGTGGCGTCTGCTACCACAATTCGAAATGAAAGGATGCGAGCCGTGGGAGTTCCAGTTATCGATCTCTCTCGCAAGCGGTCACAAGTGATGGAGCTCATCCTAAAAGCCTGTGAAGACTATGGGTTCTTCAAGGTGATCAATCATGGCGTCCCCAAGGACGTTGTTGCAAGAATGGAGGAAGAAGGCTTCCACTTCTTTGCAAAACCAGCCTCCGAGAAACAGAAAGCCGGTCCACCCAGCCCTTTTGGATATGGCAGCAAGAACATTGGCTTCAATGGCGACATGGGTGAAGTAGAGTATCTCCTCCTCCATTCTAATCCTCTCTCCATTTCTCAAGCCTCCAATGCTATCTCCACTGACCCAACCAAGTTCAGGTAACTAGTAATTATTATTATTATTATTAACAAGCTTCGTCTCTCTCTCTCTCTCTCACTCATGAACACCTACCCACACGTACAAATAAAGAAATCAAAACACGAATGGTGGTTGGACAGTACTGATGGTTGTTAGATGTAATTTCTGACGATTATCAGAGATTGGCTTGTGACTAGTTTTTTAATTTCTTTCTGGTAATTAAAGAACAAGAGGGATGAACAAACAAAAGAAATTAAAAGGGTTAATTTGATTAACAATAGCATTGGGTTTTCGATTTAGCCATTTTATTGCTGGCCGGATGTTGTTAATAAGAAATAAAGCTAATGATGAAGGAGAAGGCTCCATAGATGTTCTCCCTTAATAATTAAGGAGAGGCAATAAGTGTGCAGTGATCTGGTAATAGATAATAGTTTGCTCCCACCAAACCCTGATTAGACAATCGATCTACTTTACACACGTTAATGAAGTAAATACCAACTAGCTAGTTTCTTTAGTTTAATTCTAGTGATCGATATACAATCAGTCGTCTATGGGTGGAGACAAGAAGAAGCAAGAGTACAAGAAGACGATACAAACGACATGGTACACTCTGAGAAAGCTTGAATGGTGTTAGTACAAGAAGATCCAAAGCCACGAGGAGTGCTACCCATCATTTGATATGATCTGATGAAATATATATGTATAGAAGAATATATATAACAATTATGATCAGAAGAAGCACAAGTGAGTGAATAGCAGCAGCACCTCATCCCATTAAATAATGCCCCAGTCCAGTCATACCTGAACAAGGGTCTAACACAGTTTAATTTTGTGTGATGTGGCAGCTGTGCTGTGAATGAATACATAGAAGCAGTTAGGGATCTGGCATGTGAGATTCTGGATCTGATAGCAGAAGTCCTGAGGATCCCTGACAAGTCAGCCTTGAGTTCCCTCATCAGAGACGTTGATAGTGACTCACTCCTCAGGCTCAATCACTATCCACCACCTGGCAGTGGCATTGACTGCCATGACTGCAACTCATCGCTCCCTCGTCACCAGAATAGGGTCGGCTTCGGCGAGCATACCGACCCTCAGATTTTGACCCTCTTACGATCCAATGAAGTCGAGGGCTTGCAGATATCTTTGGGTGGTGAAGTGTGGGTCCCCGTCCCTCCTGACCCCACCTCTTTCTGCATCAACGTCGGAGATGCTTTGCAGGTTAGCATTTCTCTATATATAGCATTCTTCTTCAATTCCTCTCTACTCTCTTCTCAGTTCTCATCAATAACAAACAACAATCACGGGAGTTGATGATGAAGTTGTGATGGGTCCCCTCCCCCTGGCCCCACTACTCCTCTCTCCTCTCTCCTGTGAAATAGAGAGAATAATTGTGTATGAGATTAACTGGGTCCCGCTCTCTACTGCCATGCTGGCACTCAAGCAACCGGTCCCATCCATGCAACAGTACATGACATGTGTCTCAGATGAGCAATTACGTTGATGGAGAAGTACAACACTGGTGTAGGTAGGTCATACTCATAGGTGACTGGGCCAGGCGGTTCAGACCCGGTTCTGGTTTTATTATTTATGATAGTTATCCTGAAAGCTAGGTTAATAACTAAGATGCATGATGAATGAATGCATACTGAAGTGAAGTGAGTGTGAGTGTGATCAGTGTGATCGATCATCAATAGAAAATTTTTAAGACTAACGTGGTTGGTGGATATTGCGAGCAGGCGATGACGAATGGGAGGTTTGTGAGCGTGAGACACAGGGCAATGGCTAACTCGTTCAAGTCACGGTTGTCGATGATCTTCTTTGGGGCTCCACCGCTGCATGCATGGATCTCTCCTCTTTCAGAAATGGTTACACCCCAGAAGCCTCGCCTTTACAGACCATTCACCTGGGCCGAGTACAAGAAAGTTACATATTCTCTTCGATTGGGCGCCACTCGTCTTGACTTCTTTAGGACGACGACCCCTTCCCCTTCTGATGATGACGATGAGGAGCAGGACACTGCTTCTGCTTGAACCACATCAATATCAATCAACTCTCCTCATTCTTCTCTGTTAATTTTATGGCCGGCCGGAGATGGAGATGCATGCATGTTGTACTGTAAGCATGCATTCTTGGGGAAGATTTTTTACTTTTGTTTCTTCCCCAGATTTTTTTTTTTCTTCCTTTTCTTTTTCTTTCATTTAATTATTGGAAGAGAGGTCGGGGAGATGCCAGTGTTACCAAGGTATAGAAATGAAAAGACAAGTTAGTGGGTATATTCTAGCTCTGTTCATGAAAAACCTTAATTAATTATTTCCAGTTGAGAGTCTCACTTTGTTATTAATAAAATGGTAGCTAGCGATTTTGTTGTTCCGTGGACGGTGGTTAAGATTGGCTGAAAGTCTGGGTCTCATGCACACAGCTGATTTAAATTAAAATTTGTTACGGAAGAAATAAAAACTTTGGTTTAAAAGTCGCTTGATGATGAAGATCTGAGTTACGTTGAGCGATCCAAAACAACTACAAGACAAGGGAGTTGGACCAAAAGCAACAGATCATCCGAATCAACTAAGGACGATTGAAAATCAAACCAGGTAGAGAAGTTCTGGGCCTTAAATGTCAAAAACAATAAGATAAGACGTTAGTTTCGTCGAACCATTACTTTATCATTCCCCACCGAGCACATAAAATGATAAAATATATCTGGATGGGATCTTTGTTCGTCTCTTGCTTTTATTTCTTCTTTATCTTGTCATTTTTTTTTCTTTTCGTGAATACAATCATACAGAATAAATATGGCATTTAATTTGCATTCCTAAAGACTTCACAATTTAAGGAGTAGTGCACGTTAATATTCTCTTTAACATATTCCAAATTGAAACAGATATAAGTTTAATTTGGGTTTTTATCCGCTTTAAGAACTAATTAAGAAGTAAGAACACCTTAGCATGCAATTACTAATTAGAGATTTTTTATTAAGAATAAAGAAGTAAATATTTACATCATGCTGCAATAGTGAAGATAAAGGGAACTTGGTGTGTGTAGAAATCCCAAGTGTAGTACAGTCAGAAGTAATAAAAAAAAAAAAAACTTACTTTGTTGATAGCTCAGCTAATAAATTCTTACTTGTTAAAGACTGAAGAAGAGTTTCAAACGCAAGTCTTGCATCTGTATAGTTTATCAACTAAGATAGATGGAGAGTGGAGTCTTCAACTAAAACGCCTACTACTTATCTTGCTTTGATATAAAAAGAGTAAAACTTTATTAGCTGGTATCAGGTTTACCAACTGTGACAAGGAAATTCACTAATCCTCCAGCTAATGCATGCCTAGCTTCTGAACAAAGGCTTTTCAATTTTAGTGTTAGGTGAGATAGTGCTGGAAGACTTCACTAAAACTGGCTTTTGCTTTTTACCTCTCTGTGACCAGATTTTACCCAAAGGTTTAGACTCTCTCTCTCTCTTTCTCTCTCTCTGATATACACAATGGTTGTCCAACGCTCATTGACTCATGGAAAGAAGGCTTCAGATGACCAACCCAAAGTGTTTCTTTTGGTGCAATGGGGCAAGGAAAAAAGTAGATAGCATACCAAGTGCATGAATGAACTTCACGTCCAAAAAAAAATATATTTCATCACAAAACTATGTGCTGCATGAACAAGCTACTCGTAAGAAGTTACCAAAATGCCCTTCCACGTGTTAACCTATTTATACTGGTATGTCGAGATCATTAAAGGCTTAAAAGTGCCGAATAGTTTGGAAATTTTTTATGAAGTGAAAAGGGTATGAAAGTGATTTCCGGCTTTCATGTTTTGGTATATTAGTAAGAGCTAGTCGGTGTGTTTGTCCCCCTCGTTCAGAGCAAATATGGCTTCATTAGTGTTGTTCTTGGAGGCTCTGATGAGACAAGACCGGGACCAGGTTGGGCTCTCAATGAAAATGAGTGAGGAGGAACATATGCAGACCAATAAACGAGACGAAGATGGAATTAATGCTCATCCACAAGGAAAGATGTTCTTCACGGCAACAAAACTGATATCTCGCCGAAACTGCAGCGGGATAGAGAGTTCTGATTGCAGGATGGAGTTCCTGAAATGGAAAATAGACGAGTGCTTTATGTGGCCTTAGCAGCAAGATTTTTTTTTTTTCAATTTTTGGTCAGTTTCTAAGAATGAAAAACGCACCATTGAAGGAAGTGTCCATTCCCAAATCCCAACCTAAGTTATCATATATGGAATGATGTTGATCTTTGGCCTGAGTGATCATTTTAAGGGTAGAATGGGCCAATTCTTCTCCATACATGAACCACATAGATAGAAAGACAAATAGACAGATAGAAAAAGATGAACATCTTCCTTTTTCCTCCATCCATCCATCCTTTCAATTGTAAAGATGTATAATAATATAATATTGATGATATGGTTGTGCTTTCTCATGTTATGTATGTTGTTATGGCCTTGTCCGGTCCTTATCTCCACCGTAGCTTTCAATAATGGAAGAGTTGATGAGATAATGAAAGGTTTTCTTTTGCCATGTGGCAAGGGTAAATGTCGACTCTGGGTCATCAGAACTCAGAAGCATAAATATCTTCGCTACTTGGATGGTTGAAAAACCTCTCTACCAAATCGGGGAAGCCATCAGCAATTCAGCACCTGGGATGGGAGGGCATCTACTTGACATACTAGTACAGCTCGATCACAGAGCGGTGCCTTGGTAAAGGAAAAACCTTGGCTGTTTGGGGGAAGGTTTCCTGTACTGCAACCTGTAAACAGCCCAGGCGGCTTTTTCAAACAGCCAAAGAGTTCTGATGGTAGAGCTGGAGCCTGGAGGATTGGAATGAGTGAGCACTTAATTAGTTCATCACCTCTAAAATTTCAGTGCCCCTTTTCTTCATAACAAATATATAATTTTTTTCTTCTTTTTGTGTATTGTGTTTGATTAGTCAAGATCAGAAGCAAACCCGTACTGGTTTCTAGAAAAAGTTGTAGGGGGGCTTCCAAGAACCCAGGGTGTATTGTGGTGGGCTTACTTGTTGCAGAAATCTCTTGCTGCATTTTTTTCTTCTCTTATAGCAATGATTGATTTGGTGTACTTTGTTTTGTATCGTACGAAGACAGTCAGTAGTACTTAGTAGTCCATCAAGTAGACAGTCAGTAGTACTCAGTAGTCCAGCAAAGTAGGGATGAAGAAGCAAGAATCCCCCTCTGGCCGCTGCCCCACCTCTCTCTCTCTCTGTTAACCTCTGGAATCACTTCCTTTTCCTTTCCCCCATCTCTGAAAAAACAGCAAGAGACTTCTGTGATTCATCTTCCCAAGAGAAAGCTAGCTAATGGGGAATGTAAAATCTGGAGTACGGAGAATCCAATCAACTGTTTTTGATTGTTTTCGTGACAAACAAACTGTGGGTATTGGGGTCTGTATAATTAATTACCAATTAAATCGTATAATTACTTATCAAGAAGCCAGCATCACAGTCTCATAAAGCTGGTCGCCCCCCGCAAGGAGAAGAAAGAGATGTGAATTAGAAAACAGGAAGAGTTCAACCATATTTTAGTGAGACCATTAAGCAATTTAAATTCTATTACTTCCGTCTAAGGATTTCTGAGAAGTTATCCACCATACAACCCTCCTCTTGAAGTGTATTAAATGTTGTTTCACATTTTCAGAAGTCGGTGATTCAGTCACCTCGAATAATTCTATCTTCCAAATTAATTCAGTTCCAAAGTCTGCCGATACCTCTCCTTAAGTGAGTTAATGAGTCTTTGTTCATGTACGTCGGTTCACCTTCAACCGACTCCATCCACTATAATAACTCATCTTCTGTACTGATTTGAACCATCAGAGAGAAATACCAGAATACTACAAAACCTTTCTCTCGTTCAACTAAGTTCTATTCTGTTTTCTATTTTATTTTTTTTACAGTATTTGTTGTTACTATTATTAGCAACCATCAGTGGTATCAGAGCCCGTTCAATCAAATCTCTTGGGTGTGAGTTCTTCTAAACAATGTGTGCAGAAGCCAATAGTTCCACCCTTTATCTTCCAATCTTCAATGGAGAAAACTATGACTTCTGATCTATCAAAATGAAGACCTATTTTCGGTCACAAAGTTTATAGATAATCGTTGAGGAAGGATTCTGCATTGCTGAAGATACCTCTACTCTTTCAGCAAATCAAAAGAAGATCTATGAAGAAAATCAACAAAAGGATTGTCAAGCACTATTCTGCTTACAGCAAGCAATGGCTGAGGAGATATTTCCTCGAATCATGGGYGCATCAACTRCAAAAGAAGCATGGGATACACTGCAAGAGGAGTTCCAAAGATCTGTCAAGGTACGCACTGTTAAATTGTAGAAGTTTAGAAGGGATTTTGAAAATCTTAAGATGA